AGAACAGACGAAAAGAGAGAGGTCTACGTGCCTCCGAAGAAGAATCAAAATGATGGCAGATTAGAGTACGTAAAAAAATAGCAAGTGGACTACTCATAATACGTGATAATTGAGAGAGAAGAATTTGTGTTGCATTGATCTTAGAATATAACACATATATATAGACAATACATGGGTCTGAGCGGGCCAATACTGGGCATGTACACACATAGATATATACATTATCTTAACAGCCCTCTCAAACTTAAGATGGGTCAAATACTGAAAGTTTAAACAAAAAATACTGGATCTAAGCAGTCATTTGTGACTAAGTGAACATGTCTTTGAGTTGATCTTTGGATGATATGTAAGGAAGAGATATATGCGATCACTATAATCCTGTTGGACAATATGGCAGTTCATCTCAAGTGTTTAGTGCACTCATGAAACACCGGAATATGAGCAATCTGAATTGCACTATTGTCATAATATTAAGGAACAGAAGAAGGGACAGAGATACCGAGATCCAGAAGAAGATGGCATAGCAAAGGAATCTCAAGAGTAGCGTCGGCCATAGCACCATAGTCTGCCTCAGTGCTAGGTCGTGAAACCATCTATTAACATTTGCTACAACATAAGATATGAACCAAGAAAGATGCAATACCAAGTGGCGTATGCCTAGTATCAGGACCATCAATGCAGCTAGCATTAGTATATTCTCATTGTGTGAGAGGTGAATTAGGTGGAAATAATGAGGAGTGAGTGATAGTACCTTGAAGGTAGCGAAGAAGTTTGGTCATGTCTACATGATGAACAGTGGTCGGTGTGGGCACAAACTGACTGAAAGTGTGAACAACATAAGATATATTCAGATGAACAAAGGACAAATAAATCAAGACACCCACAAGTTCTGGATATGAAGTGGAGTTCGGTAGAGAATCACCATCTGACCAACGAAGCTTTAAATGATGCTTCATGGTTGTAGTAATAAGAGGAGATGTGGCAAGTGAGACATCTGTGATAGTGGCTTGCTCAAGGATATCTGTACTATACTTTTGCTGAGCGGGGAGAGTATGCAATCTCAATCCCAAGAAAGTAGCGTAAATGCCCAAGACCATTCATCTCAAACTGACTCTGAAGATGTCGTTGGAGAATCTGGATAGCAGATATAACATCCCCAGCAATAATCATATCATTAATATACAAGAGGAGAATGATCTAACACTGAGACTGGCTTCAGATTACTGCTCTGATAGCATGATAATTGGAAGAGAATAATCTAATCTGTGTTGGATTGATCATATAATATAATAAAAATGACAGATATATAGACAATACAAGGGAGTAAGCGGACCAATATTAGGCATGTACACACATAGCTATGTATATTATCTTAGCAGTACACATCATATGCACGCACAAGCAGTTGCAGAGCACTTCAGTACTTACCAGAGACAATATAAACAGGTTTTTGTCTACTTCATCAATAAACATGACTAGTTTGACCGTAAAAGGAAAATAAGATGAATCACGCATACATAATTTTTAGCATAAAGCATCTTCACCTCACCATGTACATAAGCAAAGTACAAGCCAATTTGTAATCAGTGACCAATTCAAACAGAATCAAGCACTCTCCAACAATTTGTCCTACCGTATCCAGTTGGTATGGGATATCATTCATATCTAGCAAAGCACTTTGCCAACACCCTCTTTTTCTGCTTATAAATGTAAGTTACCCTTTCTCCCAAGGCCATGGGGCAATTTTGACTCAGAGAGCCAGCAAGATACTTGGTACAAGCAATACACAGTTCGTAGGAGAGGTTTTCGTCGCAGTTGAAATGAGAATACACATCTCCCTTCGTGCCTACTGGATTCGCTCAAGCATTGGCTTGCTGCCACAGTCATCCGTTCGAGAATTATATCAAGCATTGGCTTGTTGTACTTTTTGGTATTGCATCTCCAAACTAGTTCATTGGCGACGATGGCCCTTGCCATGAGCAGAAGCATAGCTGCTCTGAAGCTAGCATTCTCACGCCTGCAAAGCCCATTTCTTCTTCTCTTGCTTTGGATGTTACTACTGAAGGAGGATATATAAATTAAGACTAACCCAAATATTTAGTCTTTTTGAGTCATTATGTATTTTGACAAAGTCTAGCTGAAGTCTTGGCTTGTTTAACTTGAATTTAGGGATGATATTTTGCTATTTTTGATTTCTTTCCTCTGGTTTCATTCAAAACATATGATGACATATGGCATTTTTTTTTTCCTATTTAAGAAGAGCTGAAGTGCTTGTCATATCTAGATGTCGTGGGTATATGTAAAAGTCAAACATCTTTTTCGTTTGCACATAATTATATGACATATTTGGAGATGGATGTGTCCTTAAAAATCTTGATTGGACATGAAAGAAAAAGCTCAGGAAAATAAAAGAACAGACGTAATTTAAAATTTAGGAGCCTACGCATTTTGGGTAAAAATATATCTCATTATCAGCACAGTCATCGAGGTCGCCGTCGCAAGGTTAGTAAACCAAGCACTTTGATTCTTTATGCGTTTCACTAAAAGAGTAGAATAGTACATCAGGTATTGAGAAAGAAACTTCTCATGAGACATCATAGACAAGAAATTTTTTTTTTTTTTGGCTGTTTATATACTATTTAAGTGCCTTGGTCGCTTGGAGCTCCAAAGGTCAGTTATATAAAAAAAAAAGTTTAGGGTAATTTTCACTAAACCCCTCGATAAGTTTGGACTTTTGGCACTTAACCCCTAAAAATTTTGAAACTCACACTAAATCCCTGAAAACATTGGGAGAATTTTTTTTTTTAAATTTAACCTCTGACAGCGACTATCTTATATTTATGTGATATTCTACTATTTGAGAACTCAAATATGAGCTGACGTCGTTATGAGGGTTAAATGAATAAAAGCAAATATGCTTTGATTCTGGAATTCCTAAAGTTGTTAGGGGTTTAATGAGAGTTTGAAATTTTTTGGAGGTTAAGTACCGAAAGTCCAAAGTTAGCGGAGGATATAGATCGATACGCCACCAATTTACTCACATATTAATTGGTTGCAAAATTAATAGTTCTGTACAGTACAAGTATTATATCCTAGAAATTACCGAGACTAATAAAAGTGGCCATGTAGTGACTAATTGGTCGACTCTTAAAACATCCACAAAGCACAAGCGGGGTGACACGGCCTGCCTCGGGATCCAAATCCGAGATGAAACGCGCTTCCAATCTGAACTCTACTAGATGTCTAACTCCGAGGCGACATACATTCTCCACTCAGACACAACACAGCGCGTCTCGAATAGTGAAACGGCCTAACGAGCATCATCAAAAGTCACGCTACATTTAATGAATGTACAGTCAGCGTCCGTACTTTACCGCCCAGTCGCCATCAACAATTAATGCAACGTCAGAGTCATAATGACCTTTCGAGCCAAAGCCTTCAAAGCTCCGCGGACACGCCACTACTCCAACAGTCCCATCACTGTACAAAGACAACTTGACCAATCAATTGCCAGCACGTGTAAAGTGGGTCTGAACCAGAACTGCACACACTTTGTTGAAATTACCAATGTGCCCCCATAAACCCTCTACAAATAATAGAGATTTCTACCAAACTAACTTACGCAATTTTACACACAAAAAGTCAACTAGACTATGCTCTGTTTTTCTCTCCATATTAACTAAAGATAGTCACTGACTTGACTTTCTAAGGGCACACCGAAGGAAACAACTCCTGGTGCCTCTAACCTCTGTAATTTGTGTAGTGAAGCACAGATTAAGATTTTCAATTGAATATTAATCAAATGTGATTAAGGGACCCAGAAATTAAGTTTAACCTCCCCTAAAGCACATATCAACCTTTCAGACATAAACAACAGGACTATCAATAAATTTTCTTTTTCAAGTTTAGGTTGGATTAAACACAGGCTTGGACTAGCTTACTATCCAAACAAAGTTATTGTTTCATCTAATATTATTCATAAGTTCATGAGAAGATTTTGCTTATGATGTTTATCAAAACAGTTTTGCTCTTAAAGAGGCCCATTTTAGATTTCTTGAAACATCCAAAAATTTAAAACTAAACCTCCCTAGAGAACACCATCTGAAATCATTTCTTGACTGCAATATATTTTTTGATCAATGCACATACAAACTTCATAGACAATTTCCTAAACTTCGAGGAAAAGTATGGGCTAAATAGCACTTAAATACCTTATAGTTTCACATTCTTAGCATTTATGTAACCCAAGTTGTATTTCATAGCATTTGTATACTCTGAGCTGTTCAAAATTGGCAAGTTAATACTCTCTGCTTTCCAGACATGAAATTTTTTATCCGAAAGTTATCTTATAACATTCATATACCAATTTTATAACTTTTTGTATATTAAATATGTTGAATTCATTCTTAAATCTTTCAAATTTCTATATTTACAATAAAATTAAGATACATTTAAATTTGGGTAGGTTTGATAGTAATTTAATAAGTGTTAATGGTTAAAAGCTCTAAAATTAACATATGAATGTTATATAGGAACTTTCAGATAAAAATTTTAGCGTTTGCATAATAAAAGGCATTAACATGCTAATTTTGAACAACTTAGAGTATATAATACAACTGAGGGTATATATAAAAGCTAAAAAAAATTGAAGCTACAAGGTATTTAAGTGTTATTTAGCCAAAAGTCTGACTATATCCTAAAATATTGAAAAAATTTACAGAAAGGCCTACCTAACAGTTGACCTACTCCTTTTCATGACTAAAGCAATAAATAGAAAGGGAGGGAGGAAAAAAAAAGGAATGAAAGAAATGAAATGGGCAAATTGGGCCTGAATCCGACCCGTATATATATTATGTAACTCATTGTGGACCTGGACTTGGGACAACAGCAGGCGGTGGCGATGAGTCATCCTCATCATCCGGCGCGCTCAGCATCTGCTCACCTCTTCCCAATGCTCTCAGTGGAGGAAGCCCTCCGCGTAGTCCTCA